GACACGTGGCGAAAATGGTAGGAGTGTGGGCCCAATCTGCCCGCGGTTGAGCGGAGGAGTTTACCGTATACAGGCTTGCGCGTATGTATCAGAGTTCCGTGTCCTACGCATCGCACACCTCCCCCCACGCTCCCTCACCAAGCGCGGAGATTTATTTTTCACCTCTATGTCTTGTGTAACTCAAAATCATACTGACCGAAATTGAGTATATACCTGCAGGATTTTGCCTTTCCGAACTTTAGCCTTTGCTCGCACCCGTTACTCTCTCGTCTCAGTCGGTTTCTAAGGATCCAATTCGGGTCTTCGTTTGTAGATGCTTCCGCTTAAGGCATCCACACCAACGTCGTGAGAGGAATGATAACGGACCAAGACAAAAGTCAACTCAAGAGGCACCTACAATAGTAGCAGACGCCGAAAGTGCAAACCGAAGCAAAGTGGTTTCCGTGCTTGTTGGAGACGGTAGGCCGCAACACTCGAAAACTTTATGTCAACTGCAGCCAACAATAACCTGTAATTCATTCATTGAACAGCCGGCGGAGAAACAATAGTACTTCCAGCGAACTAGGCCAAACTTCTTAATACGTGTATCCTATGGCGGCTCCATAAACTGCTCGATGCCGAACCAACCAACGAGCAGCGATGGTTTCTTTGGGGACGTTGCGAGCCAATAAGGTCAAGCGGATTAATATATACTCCTTAATCGGCGCTTCCCAGCAATCTGCACAAATTGTGATTTTTCAACGTTCGCATTTTGTACTACTTCGGATCAATGCTATGGAAAATGGGGAGGCATACTTTATTCTGTTGCAATTGTCTGAAACTCGGCTCTCAGTTCCACCCCTAGTTTTGGAAAAAGCTATTCGCTGAAGAGGGTTGACCCTGGGTATCTACGCGCGAGGAGACTGGCGGATGAGGTAAAGACGTTTTATGAACAGCCTAGTTGGTTGCTTTTACAGCGTTACGATCTGGGTCGCTTTTCAATTGGTATTCAGCTCCAGTAAACCTATGAGTTTTGTGTGTATGGCGCCACTTCTGGCCCCTGGCAATAGCTTCTGGAACTAGATTAGTTAAAACTGATTTAGTGAGATGACAATAAAAAGAAAAGTCCCTGCGCAAATCTACCAGCTGACGAGTCCGATTTCTGGCAGTTAGCCCAGAAGAGTTTTTCAGCTCACGTGCGTTTTAAGCCTTTTCTTTATTACGATTTATATTATTGAAGAATTATATATAGTTGTCATGAACGTGAAAACAAGCAAGACCGTGCTAACTACCTTTGAATGTTTGATTTGTCTCCAAACTCAACCCTTTACCTAACAATCGTTACCCCTTCATGTAACATTCCAATTGATAATCCTGATGGACGGAGATTTGGTAATTACTTTTTCATCCCCTGACGTTGTTCTTCTTCAAGAAACCACGTCATTACTCTCAATTACTCCCACATTTCTCGTTTCGTGGTACAGGGGACAGTACTTCTTTTCGTGCCATCCAGGACCTTCGTGTCAGCCAGAAGTAAGGGTGGGAGAGTATGAAGGACAGAAGAGGACAAGAGTTATGAGCCTCCGCCCATTAGATTATCGCGGAATGTGTCTTTAACTTGCACAAAATTGTGTGAAGCACATTTAACTGTATCTTACTGAAGAAAATGAAATTGGAGTTGATATCCGAAGAATGCTCAGGGGCTATACGTGAATATTTCACCTGGGCTCTTGAAGCTGCGGAACCCTGCCCGGGCAACTTGAACCTTCTACTTTTCTATGATCTATAGTTTCAGCGGTTATTCTAGCAGGCTGTTATATTCCCGTGTAGGATATGAACGCACCAGTCTGCGCCCGCCGCGTCACAGATGGAGGATCACTGGCTGACGCCGGCGCTCCTCCTTCTGTGACGCGGCGGGCGCTGCTGCTGCTTCTGCGTCTTGACGGGAGGGCGCTGCTCGATTGCGTTGCTTTTCAGTTCTTGGGTGATGCAGAACAATCCTTTCAACAGTGTGCTCGGTCAACGATCCATAAACTAGCACGCGGCAAATCCGCGCCCGTTCGGCGAAGCCGAGCCATGTCACGGAAGGAGGAGCGCCCGGCGACAGCTGGGCGATCCGACTGGTGATCTATAATTTACCAAGCTTGTTCAACGCAGCTGGGCAATGCTTATTGGTGCACCTCCTCCTTCTCTGACATATTAGCAAAGGGGAGCGCTTTAGTGAGAAAGACATTGCGGTAAGCCGCACTCCGCCCATACGTCCAGCGTGATTTACGTATTTGAAGGCACGCTCCACTACTTGCAGCAAAAAATTTCTCATTCAGCGCTTATGCTGTCATCTCGTTGGCCGGATCCGCCGCTCTACCAGCCGTTGTGGAGAAGACCCGCCACGTAGGCAACCGTGGGGCATTAGTGTCACACAGCTGGCGATTCATTTGGGCGACCCTTATAGACCAACTGTCAGGACCTCGTTCAGTTGACCCTCTGTCACTTCCTGTCGTATGACCCGCTGGGAGGGACCATATTTCAAGCATTCGCCTGCAGTTTATCCGGCCTTTTTACTCGACTACTGAGCTCTTGGAGGGGCCCTTTCTTCACCCCGCTCTTTATTACCCCTTTCTTCAGCCACAATCGCGATCGTGCGCGCTACCTTTAAAAGGTAAGCGGGCCCACTGTAAGGGATCATTTCACGTGACGAAGTGGACCTTGCGCTGATAAAGAGATCAACGGAAGGAGCTGTCGTTGAGAAAGGCACAGTCTCCATGAGTCTCGGTCCTTTAAAGGTCCAAGAAAGGTATAGTCACTATCACTGTAGGCAGTCCGGGCGTCGTAGTGGCGAGTGGCATTGTGTTTGCGCAGCCTATTTCCATCGATCGTCGCGGTTTAAGAGGCATTCGAAGAGTGGCTGGTTAAAAAGATGGCTCCACGCTTGATCCCACTCTGGCACATCTTGACTGACTTCAGGCTGTACAATACTGCAGATGCTTGGTGTTGTCACGGGGGATGGCTTTGACGCGGCGCTAGGCCGTCGCACAATTGCTTGGAGGCATGCAGCGAAAACTACAGTCCTATCCATTGCGAGACCGGTGGCTGTTCAGCCAGTATGTTTGGCCGTTCTCAGCCTTTTGTTGAAACGCGTATGCGACAAAAAGTGGATAGAAAACGAGTAATACGAAGGATATAATACAGTAATGTCACTTGCCCGCTTCAACAACTGGTGCAGAACGCACTTTGGCACCGCGCCAAACGCAGCCGCCACCGACACGCACCCACCGCGTCCGCAATGATGAGGACTGCCACCATATGATAGAAGACGGACTGGTCTGTGCCAAACCTGGCCCCGACGCGCCTCATCCCATCCGTAGCTAACAATCATTGTACATCCCTCATAAAACGACATTTTTTCTGAGTTCTCGCGCCGGGATCTGAAATTCATCGGTCCCTTTGGGATGCTCTAATGGAGGGACTACGTCGCACCTGAATGTATTGTGAGATCAATTCTAAACAACACAGCGAATCTTCTTCATGAGAAATTAGTTAAGAATCTAGTCTCAGAACGACCACATACGGTAGCCCATTTCAACTGAAAATTCGTCATTGTTCAATTCTTTCCTCAGAAACTTGTGACGGGGCATTCCTGAAGACTTTTTTCCTGTTGACGAGATCGAAAGAACCGGTTGACTTAAGCGATTGAGGCGTTTTGCCTCTTGAACAAGGACGATGCGCAAAGTTCGTCACAGGTCATTCAACTTCCTCTGTCAAATGGAAAATATTTGGAGGGCACAGATGGGGTGAGGCTGAGGGGACTTCTCATACCAGTTACCGCTGTTTGTCTTCATATTCGTCCTTGTACGGCAAAATCGGCACACGTTGCCCCCTCATAGCTGACCAAATCTGAATGGAAATCTGGTTCAGATGGGCCACACATACGAAAGCCTAATGTCGCAAAGTAGTCCGACTGATGCTAATTGTCTATGGCACATCGCAGCACTTGGACAAGTCCTAAAAGTATTGGGGCGTTCGCGTGCGCAAATCTTCCTACTGGCTTTCCTTGAGTGTATTGAAGGGTAAAAATCAAGATAATTACCTGCGGTAGGGTAAAATGATTGAAGGGAACCGGCTGCTCAAGTTGCGAAGCTTTTACTAGAATGGTCGATGGGCTTCGATCTATGCATAGCACTCGGAGCCGTCGCACGTTGGGGAATCCCAGCGAGGTGGGGGGGGGTCGTATTTGGTCAGTGGAGGTAGAGAGGGGGGGGGAAGGATTTGTTTGTGGGAGGAATGTTCTCGTTTTTGAATGATAACTTTCTCTTTTCACGCTCTATAAATTCTGCTTGCTCGAATCGACGGTGGTTTCTTGAGGGGAGGGGAGGGGAGAACTGGAGAATTTCTCTAGGAAAGCGGTAGAACCTTGGGGAGAATTTAGTGAAATGAGGACGACGGTAGGTAGGATGGGGAA